CAAATGACGTCACACATTATGAAATGGACAAAGTCCAACAATTATTTTAAGTAATTTTTATGTTTATAAACAGTATTAACAACATTTACTGGCGTGTATGTTGTTAATACTGTTTATTATAAAACAGAGCATTTACTTAAATATTTGTATCTATAAAAAAGAATGTATAAACATAAAAATGCCTTCAAATAATTGTCAGACTTTGTCCATTTCATAATATATATATATATATATATATATATATATATATATATATATTAGCACGTAAGTGAATGTAATGGATACCCTTGGGAAAGGTATGAATCCTCTTCTTCTCCCTCCAGCTATGGGTAAAATAGCAAGACAGACTGGGTTCTATAGCCTTGGATGGCAACTGGTCTAGGAGAAGGACAACTCTGAATTCAAAACCTGCGGAGGGTCGTTTGGGAACCTTGTGGCATTCGGTGCACCAGGTCTCTGTATTCGTCCCTTCAAAAAGTGTGGATGGTCCTGCACGAAGCCTTCACCACTATAATCAAATCTCATGTGCCGGTGTCGGGCTGTCGGTTTCCTGGGAACTGATCTGCTTGGCCCTCATACGTCGAAATCGACAGGAGAATCGACTACTATATATATATATATATATATATATATATATATATATATATAAGGATTAGTAAAGAAATATAGGCGAGCGAATGATAGAATTGATCTAATGACGCACCAACAAATACAATAATTTATAGATATATTGACTAACAATGCCACCACTTGTCCCGAGGGTAAGAAAAGTTTAAATTAGCCAACGGTTTCCACTTGAAAAGCCCTCAAGATTTGAAGTTTGTGTGTCGGAACAGAATTGGTAAATCCGTTTCGCTGTGTCAATAGCGATTCGATTAATCACGAATGAAAAGGAAAGTATTCGTCAATATTGGTTCCGTTAGCACGACCGTACACCAACAATGCGAGGTCAGTAGGTATTTGTCTAAGGTCATCATGTAAGGTCTGGTCAATATGTATCAGGATTGCTGATATAAAAAAATAAAAATATAACGCATATCAACTTAATGTCATTTAATCTCTTTCGAAGTAGTCTGCGTCTGAAGCTCGTTCTTGGCATGACGATAAAATACATCCGGCAGCAAGGCTTTGAGGTGCGCGGAGTTGCTGATGTTGCTAGGTTCACACTGATCTGGGATGGTATCACCTGTTAGGGTCCCAACTATGGGTAAATAGTTAACCCAAAAAATGGGGTCAAAACACTATGTAAAAAAATACCAACATTATATTTTTGAAAAAAAAAAATTACCAGCAATTCATCGACAAAAACCTCTTTACAAACATACGACAATGAAACCTGATCTACAATACATATTCTATTCATACAAAACTATCCTAGAAAAATTGTCGGCATTAAATAATCCATTGATATTTATATGCTGTAAAACAGAATAAACCAAATTAAACCAGGCTCTCTACAAAAACCCTCTTTACGGAAATACGTCATGAAACCTGATTTATAAACTGATTTCTTATATACAATACATATTCTAATCAAATGATCCTATCCTAAAAATCTTGTCGTCATTAAATACCTCATTGCTAATGATATGCTGTAAAACGAAATAAATCAAACTAAACCATCTTGAATAGCGAGGAGCTTTCTCGTCTTATTGACTTAGATTTTGTGGACGTCTCGAAATCTTGTTTCTTTCAAATATAATCTGATTTTTTTCAAAGGAAAAATCGTAAGGTAAGAAATCTAGGTAATATTGTGTTTGTCGAATATGGGGAAAGTCGTACCTAGCCAAAAACTGCTACACAAGCAATGCTCGCTGATGGAACATTTGTGGTGTGGTGAGACGACCACACTCTACACACCTTCCGTCCAACCATTGCTATAAAAAACGGAAGTGAACGCGATGGTTATAAATTAGCGAGTATGCGCGAAAGGGTTCAATGTTAATCCATGCCAAGTCGTTTCGCTCTGCGCACTGTAGCTCTGTTACCGGTATTTTTTGTTCAGACCACGTATCATTTTGAATTTTTATGATAATTATTATCATGTCGTTCAGAAAATAATGTCCGATTTTAGAATAAATATTTTAATTCTGTTCTAATATATTGTTATAATAGTTGCACAAAAATACATCACTCATGCCTTGATGACTAAAGTGACAGCTTTGTTAATTTTAGATCAATCTCTTTCAGAATTTTGTTCTCAAATATACATGTATACATTGGAAAATTGTGTTCTTATATATTATTATAATAGTTACCAAAAATACATCATTCATTTTTAATCAGAATTTAATTTAAAACATTGTATCCCCAAAAATTGAACATGAAAAAATAAGAGATTCGTTTATTTGATTTGATTTGATTTTTTTTGCAGGAGTCCAGGCTTTTTCATTATGCTTCTAAAACTGATACCAATATGAACAGATCCTGGAGTGAAGGATCAACTTGTGATCGGAGAGTACGATGATCAAGGTGGTAGCGAGTGTCCATCTGCAATTGCCAATCAGCATCTGAAAACACTAGTCGAACAAAACCCATGTCAAAGTTCCAGAGAAATGTCTCAGATAATGAATGTCAGTATTTCAGCAATATCAGACCATCTCAAGAAAAAGGGTAGGAATAAACTCGGTAAATGGGTTCCACATGAACTCAGTGAAAGTCAAAGATTTCGACGTTTCGAAGGGTGTTCGATGCAGCATCTGCGAAATTCGAATAATCCATTTCTTGATCGAATAGTGACTTGTGATGAGAAATGGATCTTTTATGACAATCGCAAATGATCGGTTCAATAGCTTGATCATAATGAAGGACCCTAAAGCTTTCTAAAGCTGAAATTGCGTGAATGAAAGATTATGGTGACTTTCTGGTGGCCTGCCTTTGGCGTTATCTATTATAGCTTTCTGGAATTTGACCAAAACATCACTACCGAAGTTTACTGGGTGAAATGTGCATTCACTTAAGCAAAATGCAGCCGGCACTGATTAATTGTCAGTGTTCAATTCTGCTTCTCTATCTACCTATCTATCTACCTACTTATCTATTTACCTATCTATCTATTTGTTTGGTTGGCTTTGGCAACCTCAATGAGTTATTTAATGCCGATAAATTTTAACCCTATACATTGATTTAGATTTAGGTTGGTACAGCATATCAACGTCAATGAGTTATTTAATGCCGACAAAATTTTTATTGCTGATAATATTTTTCATCTATCTATCTATATTATGGTTTGGCTTGTTTTGTTTTACGACATATCAACCTCAATGAGTTGTTTCATGCCGACAAGATTTTTATTGCTGGTTATATTTTTTATCTATCTATCTATCTATCTATCTATCTATCTATCTATCTATCTATCTCAGTATATATTGGTTTAGTTTGCTTTGTTATACGGCATGTCAACCTTAATGAGTTATTTAATGCCGACAAAATTTTTATTGCTGCTAATATATATATTTTTTAAAAATGTATTACTGGTATTGTTTTTTCTTCAAAAATGTATTGCTGGCAATTTTTTTTTTCAAAATGCAGTGCTGTTATTATTTATTTTCAAAAATGTATTGCTGGTAATTTTGTTTTTTCCAAAATGCATTTCTGGTAATATTTTTCAAAAACTTTATTGCTGGTAATAATTTTTCCTTCAAAAATTTATTGCGGGTATTTTTAACTATTTCTACACTTTTATCGTGTTTTGACCCCAGTTTAACTATTTGCCCATAGCTGAGACCTAACAGGTGCTTCCACTCCGGGTCAGAGTTGACAAGGGAACACCAGCAATTAAGAGGTGGTTCTACGCTCATCAAAGTCTCCTGATCAGAGGCCTTGTTGTTGAATGTAGTTTACACAAGGCGTTATTAATTCAGGAATAAAAGTTGATTTGGACAATATATTTGGCGTGACTTAAGGGTATTAATAAGGAATTTTATTGCAGGAAGCGATGACAATTATTCATTTTTGACAAGTATATTTTCAACTTGATTTTAATTGTTCTATTTCCACATGTACTATCTGTACTAGTGATCTTATCGTTAATTTTTATTAGCTGAAGCATTGTCAGCCATTATTCTTTTTTTGGGGATAATATTTCTTTCATCATAATTTCACTTAAAATAGGTACTCGGGTGAATTAAACGATCATCGATTCTGAATTTGGAATCGACACGCTCAGATAGGATATCTTTTTTACAATGACGTTCACGCTGTACAAAGTCGGAGAGCCACTGGAGGCAGAGGGTTAAAGAGTAAGAATGTGGTAAAGATAAGGGTTGACTCTAGATTTGTTTTGTTTTGTTTGTTTTGTTTTACAGCTTATCAGCCCCAATGGGTTATTTAATGCCGACAAAATTTTTATTGCTTGTAATAGTTTTTTCAAAATAATTATTGCTGGTAATATCTTTATTCCAAAAAAATGTATTGCGGGTAATATTTTTTTTCAAATATATATATATATATATATATATATATATATATATATATATATATATATTTCAAAAATGTATTGTTGGTAATATGTTTTTTTTTTTTTTATTGTTAAGTTATGTTTTCTCCAAAACCTATTGCTGGTAACAATTTTTACAAAGTATTTCTGATATCAAAACCTATTTTTACACTTCCATGGTATTTTGATCCCAGATTGTGAGGTTAACTATTTGCCCATAACTGGAACCCTAACAGGTGCTACCACCCCCGGGGTCAGGGGTCAAAAAATGGATCTTGGGACATAAGCAATTAATAGATTTTTTTGAAGGGAAACAAATATTACCAGCAATACATTTTTGAAAAAAAAAAATCTTGACGATATTAAATAACCCACTGAGGTGCTGATATGTCGTTTCACAAAACAAACCCAACCAATATGTATGTTAATTCAAATTGATTTAGATAGATAGATAGATATTTAGATATATATGAATAGATTGATTGTTACCAAACCAATAATAAAAATCTTGTCGGCATTAAGTAACCCATTGAGCTTGGTATACCGTAAAATAAAACAAAACAAAAATATGCTGAGATAGATAGGCTGAAAAGCATATATATATATATAGAGAGAGAGAGAGATACATAGATAGATAGATAGATAGATAGATAGATAGATAGATAGATAGATAAACTTTGGTCAAAAGTCTATGAGAATGTAAAGATAGTTTTTAATACCAGCAGTACGTTTTTGGAAAGAATTTTACTAGCAAAAATCTTATTGGCATTAAATAATCCATTGAGGTTGATATGCCGTAAAACAAAACAAACCAAACCAATATATACTTAGATAGATAGATAGATAGATAGATAGATAGATAGATAGATAGAAATATTCCCACAATAAAAATCTTGTCGGCTTTAAATAACCCACTGAGGTTGATATACCGTAAAAGAAAACCAACCAAACGAAAACGAATCGTACAACATCATAATGAAAGTGCTCTAAGAAATTAAACAAATAGACCTTATATGTTGATTGGCTGGTTAGTTTAGCGGCATATCAACCTCTATCGTCTATTTAATACCGAAATCTAAGTATTTTAGATGTATTTTCAGGGCTTCAATTATAGATATTTTGGACATTTTCATAGTTAAGGTAAGTTTTTTTCTTAGATATATAGTTTGTAGATGATAAAAATACATGGTCTCCATAAAGTCTCTTTATAATTTCAAAATATATTACAAAGGCAACTGATATCTTAATCCGATTTGTTCTATGTACTTAGTAGTTATCAAAGATTTTAATCACATTGCATTTGTGTATTTCAGGTTTCCTGATGATGAAAGAGGCACAGCTAAATGAAACCCTAACATTTCCAGACCAGTTGATGGAAAAGATGACCCAGTTTCCTGGCCACCTCGTTCAGCAGATATCACTCCCCTCTATTTACCAACCTACCCACAAGGCAAGATGTGTCATAAGGCCAGTTTTTAACGTAGGGAGTTCCGACACCGTAGACTCGGGCAAAAATTGCCCGAAGACCCCGTATACACGGGTTTGGGTTTGTCTACTTCCCCAAACGAGACTCTGCCCTTCAGTATAACCTCGTCTGGGTTCCTCTCTGTTCGGATGCAGAGAGTTTGACAAAAGAGGAAGAGGATCAGAAAGCCTGTTCTCCTCCACGTCGTTCACCAGATATCACTCCCCTGGACTTCCTTCTAGGGGAGTTATTTTAAAGATACCGTGTATCGATTAAAGATACGGGACATCACTGATATAAAGCAAACAATCACTGATGCTATTGTCACCATTGATGAGTCTATGCTCCAGCAAACGTGACAGGAAATCGAGTAACGTCTTGATGTGCTTCGTGTCACTAATGATTCCAATATAGACATGTTTTAAATTAGCTAAAAAAAAACTTCAATATCTACTTCTCATTATGTAACTGTTGTGGTAGGATCCACCTAATTTACATATTAATGGAGTACCATATAAATATGGTTGGTACCGGGAAGAAAAAGGAGGAATCAAAAATATTCAATCCAGAGACTCTGCCCGACTGCGACTCAGTCAACACATTCTCCAGAAACGGTCTTACCAGGAATATACAAAAGACTATATGTAAATATTGTGTACACTTTCTTGTTTCAATACATTTTGTTCTAAGTACATTTTGTGTTGCATTATTATTCCATGCATTAGTCAAGTTTCAACATATATATATATAGGAATGAAGTACGAAATAAAATAAAATATTCACCTGGAGAGAGGTGTGGAGGTCGAACAAAAAAGAGAATGAAACATAGAATGAAATAAAAAAGAAGGAAATGGGAGATAAGTTGGAAGTTATTATTCCATGCATTAGTCAAGTTTCAACAGTAAGAATTTTTTTATATTTTGTCTGTTCATTTGCTTTTGGAATAATTTTTTATAAATAAATCGAGAAAATAGACTATTATATAATATATATATATATATATATATATATATATATATATATATAAATTATTTTAGGTTATTAAAAAAACATGTTAAAAATCGCTACACAATTACAATTATCTTTCAACAAGTCAAATGTGTCTCCTCAGCTGATGTCAAACGAGTATCGAGAGAAAGATTAATTTCAAAAGCTGAGTACTTTAAAAATGTGCTTTTGAGAACAAGATGGTACAACCCCACATTGGGGACTGCATGTTTATGGGTTCCTAAATCAAATATTTCCAGACCGCTGGATTGGAAGCGATGGTCAAATTCCCTGGTCACCTTCTTTACAAGATATCATTCTCTTGGGCTTCTTTCTATGGGGTTATGTTAAAGGGATAGTGTATTGAACATAAACACACAGGACATTATCATCTAAAGCAAAAGGTCACTGATGCCATTGTCCCCATTGATGAGGCTATACTACAACGAACATGGCAAGAAATCGAGTAACGTGCCCGTATTGGCGTGTATTAAATTAGATAGAAAATTTCAACATTTACTTCTCATTAATGAAACAATTTTTACGTATTTCTCTGTGCATTTGCTCTTGAAATGAATTCTTTAAATTGTAAAGAAACTTTATGGAGACCCTATATATATATATATATATATATATATATATATATATATATATTGTGTATATTTACTATTTAATTAGGTTAATCATATACAACACTAAATTTATTATATCCAACTTAATTATTCACAATGATTCTTCTTCATTCCCTCCCACCTTATATTTGCAAAAAAACAACATAGTTTAAAAATTCAAGTGCCCTTTGGGAGATTGTATCTTTAATGGATTAAATAATATTTATGTTGGTCATACCACAAACTCACTTTCACGACGCTTGAATCTACATTTGAATGATAACTCAAACATTTTTAGACATTTAAACATCATGCCTGGCCGCGTACACAATTCAGGAAAATCCTTGTTGAAAACACAACTATACTTAAACATGAAAACAATAAACAAAAACTAAAAATTCTTGAAACTATATACATAAAACAGTTGAAACCTAACCTGAACAAAATAAACTACGGAATCTCCACAAATATTTTTAGTTGCCTATAATTGATAACAGAAGCCATTGGTTTATACTAACGGCATCCCATACTTAATAATTCTCGTTTTCACTCTCGCGTGGTCATGTGTGACGTCACGAGCTACGAAGCGATTTTCGCTTCCCCGTCTCGTATATACGAGATTAGTCATTGCTTTGAATTTTTTTTATACAACAAAAACAGATTATCATTATTGTTTCGTTCGTGTATTGATTGATATTTTGAAAAGTAATTGTCATTTTTGATAATGGCTTATGTAAGCCGAAAGCTTACATTGGATTTAAGCATGTAACAATATGATAATTTCTTTTCGTCTTTCAATGATAATGTTATTAATGTTATCAGACAATATGAAAGGAACTTACTTAAAATAAATAGACAAAACTTGTCTATATTATTTAATGAAACATGCAATATATATATATATATATATATATATATATATATATATATATATATATATATATTATTTTTATAGATACAAATATTTAAATAAAAAACTCTGTAATAAATTTATGGTATTTGCTACTCTAAAAAAGGGGCATAAACTGAAAATATGATACAACATAATTAATTGTCGGTGGAATGGAAGGAAAATCCAATTCTCTTATATTTTATATCGGTCACCAAATATCACTCCCTTTATATATGACTTTTCTTTCTATGGGGTTTTACTAAATGATATTGTATAACGAACAAAGTTAAGGACATCACTGATATAAAGCAAAAAGATCACTGATGTCATTACCACCATTGATGAGGCTTTGCTACAAAACCGAACATGGCAAATGTTTATTAATTCCAGTGTACCGAAATTTGATTGATGTACTTCTTGTAACCAATAAAATATATATATTCATTATTAAATTAGATAGAAAAAAGTTCAATATCTAAAAATCATTAATGAAACAATTTCCAATATACTTATCTGTGCATTTTTTTTGAAATGAATTCTTTAAATTGTAAAGAATCTTTTATATATATATATATATATATATATATATATATATATATATATATATATATATATATATATATATATATTGTTCATAATTTTATTTTTATAGATATAAATATTTAAATAAATGCAACCTGTTTGTAATTTTATTACTTAGATATTTGTAAGTATAAATATAATGTATAAACTGAAAATATATTAAGATAATTTCGGTGGAATGAAAATTTTATCCCATTTCCCTGTCCACCTCGTTCTCTAGATACCACTACCTTGGACTTCTTTCTATGGGTTTACATTAAAGATATCGTGTATCGAATAAAGCTACGGGACATCACTGATCTAAAGCAAAAGATCATTGATTACCACGATTGATGAGGGAACATGGCAAGAAATCGAGTACAGTTTTGATGTGCTTCGTGTACTAATGATGCCCGTGTAGAGGTATATTAAATTAGTTAAAATCTTCGGCATCTACACCTCATTTTGCAACAAATTTCTACATATTTGTCAGTTCGTTTTGAAGATCCTATCACAATTTGTTGAAATTGTAAAGACAGTTTATAGACATCCTGTATATTTTTGGTATTTTTTTAAAAAGTATATCGCTGGTAATTTCACTACAGAAATATCTTATCGGTTTAAATCAACAACTTTTTATTTTTAATTCTTCCTCTCTAAACTTACTACATTCTTTTTAGTAGATGACGTCAATGTCTAGGGTTTCTGTGCTTTTCCCTATATGAGTGCGACTGTATGTGTAGGTGTGTGCATATATGTCTTTCTGTGTGCATCTTTATTCGTGAATATTTGTATAGGTCTCTGTGCGTGTTTTCCAGCGTGTACCTGCGTGTGTTTCTGTGTCTGTACCTATTGTGTCTTTACCCGTGTTTCTGTGCCTGTGAACGTGTGGGACTGTGTAGTAGGCGTGTCTGCGGTTAAGTCCTAAGCCTTCCCCTGTTTAATTAACTCCATCTATTCAACTGTCTTTCAATTCGTTCCGATTTCTCCAATTACAGTTTCGGTCCGCTAACCCAGCGAGCAGTCATTACCAATTCATTTGAGTCTATTTATATCTCAAACTTTTGTTCTGCTCATCCATAAATGTCCGTCTATAAGCGTCTATTTATTTTAATTATTCATATCATTATGTGAATATTTCAATCCAATAAACCCGACATAATAATTACATCGGATATACTACCACTTATTAAGATGGCGGACGCTATATCACTAGGACTATAGCTCTATAAGGGCCTACTTCGAAAAACATGAAAACTTAATATAAATATAATACACGCCTCAAAGTTTAATAATAATAAGAAAGTTGAATGACAATAAAAGACTGGGAACCCAAATAAGGATACACCACCCGAAATCAGATGTTGATAGGCTGTACGTACCA